GTGCAGTGGCACGCTCACAGCCACCACAGCCTCAACCTGCTGGGCTCAGGCCATCTTTTCACTTCAATCTTCCCAGTAGTACAGGTACGTGCCACAACCCCCAGATAATTTTTTGATTTGTAGAGACAAAGTCTCACCAAGTTGCCCAGACTTGTCTCGAACCCGTGAGCTCAGGCAATCCTCTCACCACAGCCTTCCAAAGTGCTGAGATTATAGGCGTGAGCCACTATGCCTGGCCAAAAATGACAATTTTTTTTATTTTTGGTCAGTTCATGAGGCACCCAATTATCAAACTTTTACACCTGTCCAATTTGCTTAAAATGCCAAACATTAGAATGATCGATGTTGAGTTCTTTGGCAAGTTCTCGGGTAGCTGTAAGAGGATTAGCTTTGATAATTGCTCTCAATTGGTCAATGTCAATTTGTTTTCTTTTTTCTTTTTTTTGAGTTGGAGTCTCACTCTGTCGTCCAGACTGGAGTGCAGTGGCCACTCCCAGCCACCGCAGCCTCGACCTGCTGGGCTCTGGCGATCCTTCCGCCTCAGCCTTCCACATAGCTGGAACTACAGATGCGTGCTACCACGCCCGGCTAATTTTTTGATTTATTGTAGAGATGAGGTCTCGCCTGCCCAGGCGGGTCTCGAACCCGCGGGCTCAGGCAATCCACTCACCTCAGCCTCTCAAAGGTGCGGGATTATAGCCTGAGCCACCGAGCCCGTCTTAATGTCAATTTCTGATGGCCGGCCACTTCGCTTCTCATCTTCAAGGCTCTCGTCTCCTTTGCAAAACTTCTTGAACCATCACTGCACTGTACACTCGTTAGCAGTCCTGGGCCACACGTGTTGTTGATGTTGCAAGTTGTCTCTGCTGCTTTACAACCCATTTTGAACTTGAATAAGAACATCACTCAACAAGGCTACCTGCATAATCAATGTTTGTATACCTAGCCCTGAATTGTACCCCACATCTTTATAATAAAAACAAAGAAAATTGTTCGAATTTGCTTTTTGTCTACCATCATTTCCGTAGTCTAAAATACATATAAAATAAACAGTAAGTAATAAGCATTTAACAAAAAAAATAAAGTGAGAAATGCACATTAAAATGTATAACACAACCATATTTATTTATGTATTTATTTATTTATTTATGTATTTATTTGAGTTGAAGTCTCACTCTGTCGCCCAGCCTGGAGTGCAGTGGCCACTCCCGGCCACCGCAGCCTCGACCTGCTGGGCTCTGGTGATCCTTCCGCCTCAGCCTTCCAAGTAGCCGGAATTACAGGAATGCGCTACCACGCCCGGCTGATCTTTTGATTTATTGTAGAGATGAGGTCTCTCTGCCCAGGCGGGTCTCGAACTCGCACGCTCAGGCAATCCACTCACCTCAGCCTCCCAAAGGCACGGGATTACAGGCTGAGCCACCGAGCCTGGCTAACCACATTTATTTAAGAATGTATTCCAATATCAAATGGCAGATTTCAACAAAGCAAAAATCGCAATTACTTTTGCACCAACCTAATATCTTGTTTACTTTTTGGGTTTTATTTTGGGTCAGGGTATCACTCTGTCACCCATACTGGAGTGTAGTGACACAGACATAGCTCACTGAAGTCTTGGCCTCCTGGGCTCAAGTGATCCTCTGCAGCTGGGACTGCAGGTGTACACCACCCTGCCCCCCCCCGCCCTTTTTTTGATAGAGACAAGTTCTCACTATGTAGTCCAGGCTGGTCTTGAACTCCTGGGCTAAAGTGATCCTCCTCCCTTCTCACTCCCTCGGTCTCCCAAAGTGCTGGGATTATACCATGCCCAGCTTTGTTTACATTTTTTTATACCCTTAGAAGTGCCACAAGAGCCAAGATTTTTGTCAGTTTTGATCACTGCTACAACTCCTCAGGCAATCCTCTCACCTCAGCCTCCCAAAGGCGCTTACAGGCTGAGCCACCGAGCCCGACTTCTTATTCTTATTTACTTACTTCATGGCAAGATTTTGACAAGACACTTTTGAATCTTAGTTGTCATATTTGTAAAATGGGAGAATTAAATATCTGCTTTTTTCAAGAGAAGTGAGAAACAGAGATTTCTATATGAAACATCCCTATTTTATTTTATTTTAGAGTTGGAGTCTCACTCTGTCACCCAGGCTGGAGTGCAGTGGCACGCTCATGGCCACCCCAGCTTCAACTTGGTGGGCTCCAGAGAGCCTTCCACCTCAGCCTTCTAAGTAGTCGGAGCTACAGGCGTGTGCTACCACGCCCAGCTATTTTTGATTTTTATTGTAGAGATGAGGTCTCACCAAGCTGCCCAGACTGTTCTGGAACTTGTGGACTCAGGCAATCCTCTAACCTCAGCCTCACAAAGTGCTGGGATTACAAGTTTGAGTCACCGCAGCCAGCCAAAATATTCCAATTTTCAGTGTCAGAAATTAAAATTTGTAAAGACTGCTCTTGTTTTGCAACTTTTTTTTTTTTCTGAGTTGGGGTTACTCTGTTGTCCAGGCTGAAGTGCAGTAGCACACTCACAGCTCACTGCAGCCTCGACCTGCTGGGCTCAGGTGATCCTTCCACCTCAGTATCTTGAGTAGCTGAAACTACAGGTACGCTTGGCTAATTTTTTAATTTTTTGTAGAGAGGAGATCTCTCTATGTTGCCCAGACTTGTCTTGGGCTCAAGCAATCCTCCCGCCTCAGACTCCAAAAATTACCAGCGTGAGCCACCACCCCTAGCCTACTGGTGAAACTAATTTTTCTTTTCTTTTCTTTTTCTTTTTTTCTTTTTTTTTGAGTTGGAGTCTCACTCTGTTGCCCAGACTGGAGTGCAGTGGCTGCTCCTGGCCACTGCAGCCTCGACCTGCTGGGCTCCGGCGATCCTTCTGCCTCAGCCTTCCAAGTAGCTGGAATTACAGGTGCGCGCTAGCATGCCCGGCTAATTTTTGATTTATTGTAGAGATGAGGTCTCGCCAAGTTGCCCAGGC